TACCCCAGCTGCGAATGCTTAGAGTTTGCTTGCACCAAGGTTCAGTCCGGCGAGGATTAGCAGCAAACCCCAGGTGGTCGGAGTTCCCCAATGCCCCTTCCCCCCCCCCCCCCCCCTCTTCAGTATGGCTGGTGGCACCGTCGATTTCACAATCCCATGCACATTATCGGCCTTCAACACAAACGATAGAAATGATGTATCAACACAAGCCTTTACCTACTAAAAGAGAGACGGCGTTATGCATAGATGTCGCTAGCTACCGGCTCATAAGAGCTGTGTGAAACAGGCACTCAGCCGAATTTCCTATAGATGTCGCCAGCTACCGGTACTAGCAGGATTGCTACTACAGAATGGTCTCGATCGGGTCGGTTGTCTATGGATTGAAGGCTGAAGGTATGTGCATGCAATCTGCATACAATATACATACATGCAAATATACGCTTACATGCTTCCCCTGGACTCAGGTGCGTGTTTGCGTTCGTCCATCCAGTCCTCCGTCCGTTCGTCCGTCCGTTCGTCCGTCCGTCCGACCGACCGTTTGTCCGTCCGCCCATCCATCTATCCATCCATAGACATATGCATGCATAGGCACACAACAGCACACCCGTCCATCGTATCCATCCACAGGACATTCAAATCCTCTCCACGCCGCAACCCTCAGTCCGGGCTGAACAGGCACCTTTATCTCATGCGGGCTGCTCCCTTGGAGCGGCACCGCTGCTCCCGAGGGAGCGCACCCCGTAGCCGGGTGCAGTGAGTGCCTTGGGGCTGGGTGGCCTGTCCTCTGGACGGGCTCAGTCCCGGTGACTCGCTAGCGCGCCTGTCCAGACCAATGTCTCCCCCTAATTCCTATCATCCTTCCGGCTCTGACATGGTCTTGTTAGACCGAAAGGACCTAACCCAACAAAACAAACAACACAGATGAACATATAATAACTCACTTGTGTATACGCAGCTAGGATATGAACTATGCCTACAACTACTTCTCATGCTATGGCGGAGAAGGTTCGTCTATGTATGTATTTGCACCACATATTAAAGTACATTCTTGCGTGGCTTTGTCGGTATCGGCCTCAATTCGCTAGCTTGAATATTCTGCGACGATTCGTTACATTGGTATGACTTTATTAATATCGGGGTCCTTTATTGTTAGTGCTTTGTTACCCTTATCTGCAGGAAAAATTGCGTAAGCTCAATGAGTTGCTCTGGGGTCAGTACCCTCGGTAAAAGCCATGAGTACCTACCTAACAAAAGTTGTGTTGACTCTTACGTGATTTTCCGGGCTGTACCATTTGCTTGTATTGTTGGGAGCAAGGCTCTTTCGGTCTAACGCGACCCTTGTATTATTGTTATGAGGTGGAAGGGAAGGGCGGGTACATACATACATTGCGGCTGAGCGGACCAGCAACTAGTGCACCTCAGCATCAGAGACCGTCCCGGCGCGGTGAGACGGGAGTGTCCCGCTGGGACCGGCGGGATCACACCACCCTGCCACTCAAACGGTCAAGTGCGCCACACACAATATTTTCCTCATCACTGGAGTGGTAAGTACAGCGCCACCGGTGCACCAGGCTGTTTGGCGTGGATTACCGTCAGCCCAGAAAAAGGTAATGTGAGCTAGTCTGATTCAGTGTCGTATAACGGGTTCTGCGGTCGTTCCTTTACTGTTCCGTCTATCTCCAACAATCTCAACGGCCTCCGTGGTCGTCTGAGAAGTGAACGCCTCGATCCATGTCCAGTTGAGGCCGGCGCGCCGCACGTTATTCTCCACCCCCGTCTTCCGCTGGCCGTAGCCGGTCGGTTTAACCACCTCACCGCCACTCATATACGCCCCCCAGAACCCGAACGTGCCGTGGGTTATGATCGAGTGGTTACAGGCAGCCAGAAGTGCCAGGTCCGCACCGGGACGTGACTGAACCCCATCACCTGCCAGCACAATGTCCGAGGAGTTCGCTCGGGACACAAGCTCGCGTCGACACCACTCCAGATCATCGGAAACGACTACAAACAGCGCGTCTCGGTGGCGGCTCCTCATCAGCGCCAGGGCACGCTCCAGGAAATCTCTATCCACTAGCCTGCCTTCTACCATCTTGGGCAGCCACTGGGCGTAGTCAGTTCGTCTGACGTGCACGCCGATAAAGGTGGGTGAGGTCATGTTGACTTGGTGAGCCAGTTCGGCCAGCCGTTGGTCAGCACTCAGGGGTAGCTCGGGTCGGAAGGTGAACTCTCGCAGCACCCGGTCACGTATTGGATGGAACAGGTGTACTGAGGTCGGGTACCCTCCGATTAGATAGCTCTGTTCGTCGTCTTTTGACACGTTTTTAATCAGCGCATCGATTCGTACCTCCGTCCAGTTATACTTACACTCGCGGGGCAGTGCCGGAGTCGATAACGGTTCGAAGTATTTTTCAAGAGTGTCTTTCATCTCAGGAAGCAGCCAGACCGGTCGTTGAAGGACGTGACTCGCCGCCAGAAGCGTGGCGTACTCAAACATGATGTTACCGAGTCGACCACCCTTGGCAGCGGAGAGCAGGCGCTCCGGCGGCGGACAGGCTGGCGTTGTTGACCTCTCCAAACGCTGTTCATCCTCCGGCGAGGGATGCAGTCCTTCCGAGTCCTGAGGTCGGCTCTTAGAGAGCGCGTACACCACCAGCAGGGCGGTACAGATCAGGGACAGCCGGGTGATGGACCTCCGTCGACTTACTGCCAGCCACCAGCTTCTCAGATGTCCCAGAGCACACATCGGGCACCGCTACAGTTGCTACGACGACCGAACTCGTGGCAAACTTGTCACTGGGGGAGCTGAAAAACAGCAGCAATATCAATCAAATAACCCGCGCCGGGCCGGGGGGTGTTTGAACACCCCCTTGTGGTTTTTCGCAGATATCTAAAAAACGGCGGCGCTCCGCGCCACCGTTTTTGGCACGCCTGTTTGTGCATCTTTTCCGCACATATTGTGAAAATTTCAGACCCAGGTTGCCCGAGGTCAGGTCACCAGGTCACGCCAAGTAACCTCACCTCAGAAAAAAAAATAGGAATGCTCGTCGTAGCTACACCGACTGAACGATTGCCTTGAAACTTTCAGCGCTAACATGTAAAATGGGGGTGTTTGAAGCCCCCCTTCTAACTCGGCTCCTGGACCACGTAGCGATACGGAGAAGAAGACGTTCGAAAGAGCGCCAAAAATAATGAGGAAATCACCTCGGTCACTTTTTTGGTCAGGTCAAAGGTCAGGTCACCAAAATGCATTCGATAGCTCTATTAGCGCCGTTTCTGAATAATTCTCTCCAATTTGACCTAGCGTCAACGGTTTTGCCTGCAGGGGGCAAGAACTGCCAAAAAAGCCGATTTTTCGGAAATAGTTTTTCTGCAATAACGTTTGACTCAAGCTTTTTACGAGCTTACTTTCACCGGCATCGCGTTCCTCTCGTCAAGGCGCATCGAATGAACTATAAATTGACATTGAAAGGTCAACTTGAAAATTTGACCTCAGGTCAAGGTCATGACCTGACTGGAAAGGGTCATGTTGCATATCAGTTGATCCGTATCGTCGAGCTTAATACATCTAAGGCGTTTCATCCCTCTATCATGCTTCCATCAAAAGTTATTCGCGAAAAACTGTTAGATACCATTCGTGACCTGAGATGACTTCAGGGGCATAAACAGGGGTCACGGATACCATTTTCATGCTCAGTGTGTCTAGGTTGCTTGTAATTCAGTGTTTGGTAGTGTTTATAATGGCTTTTGTCCAAACGAGGCGCCTTTCAATTTTCTCCCATTGACTTACATATAATGGGGAGGTCGCAAAATTGACTTGACCTTAGGTCACCGATATCCAAATTCCGAGAGATACATTTTATACATACTATTCGTCTCAGGAACCGCTGAAAGTTTCAAAGCGATCGGTCACTCGGTGTAGCTGTGGCAGACATTGAAACTTTTTATGAGGTGAGGTCACTTCAAGGTGACCTGGTGATCTTCAAGGTGACAGGTGACCTGACCTTGGATAACCTTGGTCTGAAATTTTTACAACTTCTGTAGAATTGATGTATGATAAGGTGTGCTAAAAACCACAGGAGGGGTGTTCACTGTTCACCCCCCCCCCCCGCAGGGCGCGGTTTAACAAAAGGTGTCAAATCGAAGGCAGACGAAACGTCAAAACGCCTGGCAGACGAAGGTACTGAAAGTTGATCCGTCTAGGGGTTAGGAAGATAATGCAGGAAAACGAAAGGGAGCTGTGTAGAACTTTCAGTCGTTCACAATGGTTCTAATCTGCAATGGCTTACCAAAGAATAAATAAACACATACTCGTACCTGCATAAATCCCATTTCTCTACACAGGCGCCTATCCTTACTTTCAATAACACCTCGCACAGAAAACTGGTGAACCGAACCCGTCTGGCTCCGCCGCGCGACTGAGCTGTTTGTCCATCTTGTGCGAGCAATGACCTGCAGAATGGAATAGCATATAAGGTCAAGCCCATTGCAGAGCTCTGCGTGGTTAGCCATGGTTCTAACATGCATGTTAAGTGGGTCTAACAAGTAAGGTAAACGGAGCTCAGCACACTAGGTACTTAGACCTTTGCAGAAAATTAAAGCCACTTTCCTGCTACGTGCTGTCGCGGAGGCACAGAAAGAGGGACAGAAGAAAGCGGGCCGAAATTTGCATCCAAATAACGGTCTCTCAGCGTCGGTGACGAGAACAGTCTCAGTGGCTGCGTGATACAGGGCCGATCCGCCGACCGACGGCAGTATTTAGGTCGGCATGCGGTTCCGAGAAGAGGGAGTGGAGCGCAGCCTCCGAATGACAACGCATTCAAATGAGTAGTGTAAGTACTCTCTTTATCACGTTATTGAGGAATTCGGCATCGGTCCCACTGGGATGATGTGCGTCTGAAACCACACCTTGCAAGAAGTTCCGATATGCTGCAGGTTGCAGCGAACATAAGGAAAACATGCAGCCATCGTGTCATACGGTGTATGAGCTGAACAGTTCAAGCGAGAGCAAACTTTGGCCGTAGCAAACAATCGGGGAAAAGCAATACATAGTCATCTATAGCGGCTAACCGGCGATGGCAGCGACCGACAATGGAAAGTACCTATAATAGATCCCTGAATCCACCTGACCGCGGTAAACATTGCGCACAAACATGATGTCATATTGCAGACGTCTCGCCTTTAAAGTGGGAAACCGAAACGCCTGCCGCAGGTGCTCGTAGGTCAGGGAATGCGTCACAGTGCTGTTGGATTTAGATGCCATCCACATGAGGAACTTGTGCCGCGCACGTTCTAGCCGCTCCACGTGTGACTTCGCTGCGCAGCCCCAAATGACACACCCATACTCCAGAATAGACCGGACGTTCGCGAAGTACGTGACCTGCAAGGTTTTCTGCCAGAAATGTTGACGTGTAAGGCCAGTTTAAAATGACCTGATGAGAATGCCGAGAGCTCTGTTCACAACTGTGTGGCTGCTGTGGGCCGAAAACGTTAATTTTAAACCTAAAATCACTCCTAAATCACGCACTTCGGAAACGCGCTCCAGAACCGATCAATCAATCCATCAATGGAGTAAGAGTGCAGCACGGGAGATGTTCTCAAGCTCAATGTGAACGCAAAACACTTTGCAGGATTGATAGCAACTCATAGCAACCGCTGCACCGGCTGTCTGGTGTGGGTCAGTTTGACCGTCAGCCCGGAGAAGATAGTCTGAGCTAGTAGTATGTAGTCTGATTCAGTGTCGTATAACAGATTCTGCGGTCGTTCTTTTACTGCTCCGTCTACCTCCGACGATCTCGGCGGCCTCCGCGGTAGTCTGCGAAGTGAACGCCTCGATCCAGGTCCAGTTGAGGCCGGCGCGCCGCACGTTATTCTCCACCCCCGTCTTCCGCTGGCCGTAGCCGGTCGGTTTGACCACATCACCGCCACTCATATACGCCCCCCAGAACCCGAACGTGCCGTGGGTGATAATGGAGTGATTACAGGCAGCCAGCAGTGCCAGGTCCGCACCGGGACGTGACTGAACCCCATCACCTGCCAGCACAATGTCGGAGGAGTTCGCTCTGGACACAAGCTCACGTCGACACCACTCCAGATCATCGGAAACGACTACAAACAGCGCGTCTCGGTGGCGGCTCCTCATCAGCGCCAGGGCACGCTCCAGGAAATCTCCATCCACCAACCTGCCTTCTACCATCTTGGGCAGCCACTGGGCGTAGTCAGTTCGTCGGACGTGTACACCGATGAAGGTGGGTGAGGTCATATTGACTTGGTGAGCCAGTTCGGCCAGGCGTCGATCAGCACTCTGGGGTAGCTCGGGTCGGAAGGTGAACTCTCGCAGCACCCGGTCACGTATTGGATGGAACAGGTGTACTGAAGTCGGGTACCCTCCGATTAGATAGCTCTTTTCGTCGTCTTTTGACGCGTTCTTAATCAGCGCATCGATGCTTATCTCCGTCCAGTTATACTTACACTCGCGGGGCAATGCCGGAGTCGATAACGGTTCGAAGTATTTTTCAAGAGTGTCTTTCATCTCAGGAAGCAGCCAGACCGGTCGCTGAAGGATGTGACTCGCCGCCAGAAGCGTGGCGTACTCAAACATGATGTTGCCGAGTCGACCGCCCTTGGCGGCGGAGACCAGGCGCTCCGGAGGTGGACAGGCTGGGGCTGCTGACCTCTCCAACCGCTGCTCATCATCCGGCGAGGGGCGCGGACCTTCCAACACCCGATGTCGGCTCTTAGAGAGCGCGTACAGTGCCAGCACGGCGGCACAGATCAGGCACAGGCGAGCGATGGACCTCCGTCGACTCACTGCCAACCACCAGCTTCCGAGGTGTCCCAGCGCAGACATCAGGCACCGGGACGGAAATTGCGGCGGCTGGACTCTTGGCAAACTGGCACTGACGCTGAAAGGAGAGCATAGTTATTTGAAAACTCTACAGAATTAGGACTGTATTGCTTCTAATCGATACCTAAAATTGCTTCTAGATGTTTTAGATAGCCTTGTTGATAAACGCGCAGTAGCGGTGGATTCGGTCGTACGTGGGCCGTAGCACTTTTATTTATAAGAACTACAAAGGAGAATCAAGCGGCGTGGTGAAAAGATTAGGTTTGGGTATTTCACCAACAACATATGTTCCTTCTCAGTACACTTTTTGCTTGTGCTCTTTTCCGTTTTATAATGCCATGGTACGCGCTGCAATCTCCGGTCCTCGGTGTTATGTTTCGATGGTGCGTTGCAGTCTCTATCCTGTTGGGTTATGTTGCGATGATCTGTTGCAGTCTCCTGTCTGTAGCGTTATGGAGCGATGGTTTATTGTAGTTACCTGTCTGTGGTGCTACGTTGTAATGGGTAGCTGCAGTCTCCTTTTTGTGGTGTTGTGTTCTGATGGTATGTCGCAGTCCTCTGGTGTTATGGTTAACTGCAGTCTCCTGTCCCTGGTGTTACGCTGTGGTGATGTGTCGCAGTCTCCCGTCTCTGGTGCTAGAGTGCAATGGTCTGTCGCAGTCTTAGGCTGTGGTACGCTATGATTCGATGATTTGTCGTACTCTCCAGGCTGCCATGCAATGGTGCGTTGGTCTGTTCCAGTCTCCATGCTTTGGTGTTACAGCGTGGTGATTAATGGCAGTGGCGATTAGTGCTCAGTTGTCTCGCATCTCATTAGTCAGTTGCAGTCTCTATAGATATGATATTGTGGTTCATCGCATTAACCAAGCCACGGTGTTGTGGTCTATCCCTGCAGTCTCCGTGCTTTGTTGCTCTTGTATAATGTCCTGTGATGCTTTGGTGGCCAACGGAGGTAAATAGGGTGCCCACCACCATTCAACTCTTTGCCACCTAGGTAAGCTAGGAAGTCAGGAAGCTATAGGAGACAAAAATCACATAGAACCTTGTATCCATCGCTAATTTTGACCTCACCTTCACTTGGCTTTCGAAAACTTAAACAAAATATGCCAACGAATCGTCCTTTGAAAACCTATGAATGTCGTTTTCCCAACCTTTTTATGGCCATCTGTTCGGAAGGTAAACTTTTGGCATGCAGTCTACTTCCACCAGCAATGCGCGTTCGACTACATGGGCCCCAGTGGTACGCGGGTTAAGATCGACGCTGATTTGAAAAATTGCATGGTTCAAAAATGTGCAATGCTGAAAAACGAATAGATAACCTACCATAAAGATAGAACGCCACTTGCGGGAGAAAAAACAAAACATAAAACATATACAGGTGAATTTAGGGTAAAAACACCTAGGCAAATAACACACACTTGCCATTATCATAATTCAGTAGGTTCAATTACTCACCTGTGCCTTCAATAATACGAATACACCTCGCACAGTAACCCGCGGACCAAAGCAGTCAGCCTCCGTCGCCCAACTGAACTGTTGTCCATCTTTTGCAGACGGTGACCTTCAAACCAGAACAGGATCTGGCCGGTGCTGATGGCTCGTAACCTTTCTGCACAGAGTGGAGCCACTTAAGTGGTGGGATGGAAGCCACAAGTGATTACACTGTGCTGCAGCACATGCAGACTGACAATGTAGCTATAGTGGTTCATTGGTAAAGTACTCGAGCTGAACGGCTCATGGAGGCGCCAGAGTAAACAAACGAACAAAATGATTGCCATCCAGCGATGAACGAAGCGGTGATGACAACAATCGATGTCTGACAATGAGAACATATAACTATGTTCCAATCATTGACAGCCGAGGCTATTAGATTAGTAAGTGCAAGTCGGTAGTAAGGCTAAATATCCGTTCAATGTAGCTTATGTAACGGCGCTAACGGCGTAGTCCGGTCTATTTCATTGGGAACTTCAACGCGCTGTTCGAAGGTATCCCGGCAGGTGGCGTTCCCAGCTAACCACGGCAGATGTCGCTGCGAACAGAAACAGAAACAAGGCTCTTCGACCTCGAGAATGGAGCTTTCACTTTGATTGGACAGGAATGCTAGATATACCATTTAATTGACCGCCTTTGAAGTACGTAAGAACAAACGACCCAATCGTTGGCAAAATGAAATAATCAAAAGCTCCTTTATGCGTAGGTATGTAAGCGTATGAACGCTTGGTTGGTTTGTTTGTCGTTTCGGTAAGAGGAATGTGCTGCGGTACCGCATATTTATTGCTTGCGTCCAAACATTTTTCTCCTTCCTCATCTGGCGTATATGCCTGTTACCAAACATATCGCTTTATGTAATTATGTTGGCACATGACCTTGAAAAGATTAACGGGTTTTCAAGTTTGCCACGGTGTGAGACCCTCGTATCGATGTGCTGAGTAGAGATGTCAATCGGATACCAACTTTTTGGTATACCGATACCAAACCGATACCAACTCGGTATTTGGTATTTCAATCCTAATGTGTTTGGTATTTTGTTGGTATCATGAACCCTTGCTTATGTTTAAGAGGCTAAGAAATCGGTAAAAAGTTGGTATTTTCCTCATGTTTCCAAGTTGGTTTGGTTTTGGTATTTCTCCACGGTTTTGTTTGGTATTTGGTTTGGTATCGGTATTCCGATTTTGAGTAATTGACATCACTAGTGCTGAGCCATCCGGTTTTCACTTTCGATACATCTTGAACTGAAATACACGCCAGCTTCAAAAATCACCATCGTGCTATCTTATGGTTTTGTGGTTTTATCTTATGGTTTATCTTATGGTTTACCTTATTATTATCTTATGGTTTTCGCTCCAATGTGGCATCGCGCTTGTTGAATTTATATTGAAGATCACATGACAATTATTGAATTATGTACATGAACAATTTTAGGTACTTACATACTAAGGTGACTAAAGAGTTTCCACTTAATAAACTGCAAAGTACAAAGGGCAGGCTAGTCCTGTAAATATTACGCAAATTGATTATCAATTTTTCTTTACCTTAACAAATTTTACTACATCAAGAAAAAAGTAGTGTTTACAACACTGGCGGAACCAGCCGTTTTCAAATGGAGGGGCCAAAGTCGGCCAAAAAGTCAGGTCTCCGAAGGTTATTGATGACAAAAAGTCCGCTTTTGATATATACTTGCACTAATTGGGATCGAACATGAGGATTTCTTGGCCCATGGCCATGCATGTCGTTATTTTTGTGGATTGCGGTCCAGAAGAAATTTTAAGGGGGAAAATTGGTTTGGGAAGGGAGGCGAATCATGCTTTGGCCGCCCCTAGCCCTGTCTTTGGGCTGGTTGCCCCCCCCCGCCTTGCATCCGCCAGTGGTTTACAATATTTTTATCATGATTTTATCAAAAGTAGTTACCAATAATAAGGCAATCATGATAAAAAATAGAAGCAAAGATTTACTTATTAACAAAATGCAAATTATATCCATTTCAGATGGAATGGGCCTATTTACACAATATTACAGGAACTTACGAAAGTAGCTGATGTTCAATGGCTTTTAAGTAGGCATCCTAGATAGAATGATAAACGATTTTGCATTTGTCTCTTGGCAAATAGAAATTTGCCGCATTGTTAAAACATGGATGGCATTCAAACTGTCCATTGCAAACACTAAAACACAATAGTGTAATGTCATCCAGCTCAACAATGATGTATCTAGTCCATGATGATCAAATACAGCGTACTGAACGCTACACACTCATTGCATGTTCTATGTGCATTTGCATGCCTGTATACTCGTGCATATGCTCACATGTATGTAGATGCATTGCTTAGGGTTTTTTCTCTCTTTTTCTCCATGGTATGCGGGACATAGGTACACATGCATGTGAATACAGTTATACACATTCTGTACGTGAACATGCTTGACACACAACATGAGCAGATGGCCGTTTTTACGACTGAAGGCACGTAGTACGTACAATGACACTGCGAAGTCAGTCTCCGTTCCCACATTGATAGCATCGGTCTCATCCATCCGGGTTGGCCAGCTAATCTCATGAGGCAAAAGTCCAGTATCTGTCGCTGTGCTTTCACGTTTCAGTCCAGACCGCAAGCGCCATCACATGAGCCCACACGAGTTCGGCAAGGCCAGATTGTCACCGCTCACAGGAGACGGTCTAAGGCTATCTTGAGGCAAGACATTTTTCTCCCGTTTGCACTTCGGAGCGAGTGTAAGTTTTCAATGTCTATCTAACGACTCCACGTCTCAGTGACTTGGATTATCCAAAGGCAGTGAATTGTATCTCGTTACCAACTGCTCTGCGATTTGCTGCGCCCCTCTAATGGTGTTTTATCTCTCGTTGGAGTGCAGCTCGGGTGTTTTATTTCTCGTACGAGGGCGGGTCGTTGGTAAAGCTCGGCACCCAGACCGGGGTGCCGGTGATTGTGCGCAGCGCTGGCCTTGGTAGACTGTCCTTCACTGGCGCGCGACCGTTAACTCCGACTCGATTGGCTGGATCGTCTCTGAGCCGAATCAGACTGTGGTTGGGCAGACCTGCCGGACCACCGATTGGGCCGTCCAGAGGACCGTTCAGTGGTCCATCCAATGGACCATCCAGTGGTCCATTCAGCGGTCCGGGCTGGACCAGACGAGCTCCGATAGGTCCAGACGGTCCATTCAGTCCTCCCGGTCCTCCCGGTCCTCTTGGTCCTCTTGGTCCTCCTGGTCCTCCAAAGCCACCAGGACCAGCCAACGGTCCACCCACACTCGGCCCCACCAGACCCACCGGCCCCCCAGAGACACCGTTCGGTCCCAGGGGACCTCCTGCGAACCCTGACAGCTGCGCTGGCTGCGGGTGAGCCGGGACCGGTGGAGGCCCGGAGCCCCGTCTCAGAGGACCCGGCGCTGGCCCCAGAGTGTTGCCCTGGAGCACCTGCACGTGGGCAGTGCCGGGACCGGCAGGATCGCCGTGCTGAATGCCGTACGAGGTGGAGCTGTGACCGTGAGCGCCGTCATTTTTCCGGATGGTGACGAAAGAGACGGCTCCGCCGCTGACGGGCTCTGAAACTGCCGACAGCAGGAGTGCCAGAGCCGGCAGGATTGCTGACCGCACGAGCTGGGGGAGAGTGGGGGATGGGGTGTATCAAGTTACAGTTATAGAGCAGGAACGGCGCTGTAGCTATTCATTATTGCATCGGTTTACTTTCTTTGTGCTTCGGGACGTACATGTACTTGTTTCAAAGCAAAATTTTCAAACACGTGATAGCGCTCCATACCACAGGATTCGGAGCAAAATCTTGAGAAATTTGTGTTGCCAGTTCGACAAAACACGACTCTAACTTACTTTAATTATTAACCCGTGCCCCTTGGGAGGGGGGGAGGGCGAAACGGCCCCCTCTCCTTTTCAGTCGATATCTCACAAAGTGTAGCAGATATCGCCACGAAACCTTCAGGACCCTTTTGAGCATCAATTTTACTTCCTGTGACCATTTTTTTCAAAGTCTGTGATAGGTTGGCGGCAAATGACGTCAGAGTGACGTCATGCTCTGTCATTTTCGACCGAAAAAGTTTTGCGGGAAGAGCTGTCACGCCAACAGTTTTGGAGATAGAGAAAAATATTTAACATAAAAAAGATGTAGAATTTACAGGGCTACAAAACCGCTATGGCGTTCAGATTTGTTAATTTTTTTGTTTGTAACCCCCAAAACTCAAAAAGTGTTTTTTACAATACCCCAAATACCAAATTTTTTCAAAATTTTAAAAACCCGAGCATATGTTATCTATTATTTGTCTGCTATTGGCATGCCAAATTTGAGCGCGATAGCTCCATTTTGGGCGAAGTTATGGCGAAAAAACTGCTCAAATTTATGACGTAAAATTTGCACACTCAATTTTTAGCCGTTATTGACAACCCAGAGTAAAACGAAGACCACCATTGGATTCCCCGTGATGAGTTGCATCAAAAAGACACCTTTTATTCCAAAAAAAAAACTTTGAGCTTTGACCTTTTTTGACCTGACCTTGACCTGACCTCCACCAGAACGGAACCTAAAAATGCGGTGAAAAAATGCAAAATGCGACCTTTGACCTGAACTCTGACGTCATCGGTTGCACCTAGGTCAACAATACTTGGTCACGAGGTAGTTCCTTGGTAGCGCTATCGAATGCTGTTTTAATTTTTAAAATCAATCGGTAACTTTCCGAGACCTGAGGGGGCCCGAAACGCCCCCCCCCCCCCACGGGTGGTAGGGTCCGCCAATAGCACAACGGGGCGCGGGTTAAACTGGCTGCACATCTTACCAGCTAGTGCCAAATACCAAGCAATTTCGAAATTTTCTTCCAGGTTCTCGGCTTGTAGTATTTTCAGTCGGAACGTGAATCAAAACTGACGGTAGAAATATATTGAAAATCAATTTATTTCTGCATGTTTCCGCATTTTCTTTACTTCTTATCACAAAAAGATCCTGCCTTTTGCACAAATACTTTATTTGATAAGCACGTATGAAACTGCAACTACCGAAGCAATCCGCAAGATTGAAAATATCACTTGACACTTACGTCCTCTGTGACCTTTACCACACATTTGCATGAATTTCCTCAAGCTGATGTGCGATAAACGTCTATCAACATGTCCAAATTCACTCTCCTCGCAATAATCACTTCCTGCACCTGCTTACCTTCATCCTATCACCTCAACGCCGATCACTAGACCAGCCAGACTGCCGATGACGGCTCGTTTAGCAGCACCGGCCCCAGGAGCACTGGACCGGTCCCCTCGAGTGGATGCCGCTTTTGACCGATCTCCAGGTAACCGGTTTGGCCGCATCATTGGCCGACGCAGCTGTAAAGGATCGTCTCCGATTGTGGAGTTTTGGTGGTCTGGTAAGTACAGGTGGTCCTCATTGAGCCCGCGGTGGTCCTGCCTGGAAATTTTGCCAGGGAATTGAGCCGGAGAGCCCTTCAATACTTGACCTGTGGCTGTATCATTATTACCATCTCTAAAATTCGTAATTGATATGGTTGCCAAATTGAATCTGGTAGCGGTTAGCTTGTTTGTATGTGATATCTAATGGTCCTTCTATAACGTTGAGAAAATGATGAGCTCTCATATTTCTGGTGGTCTTCTCCATCTCAGTTTAATCCTTTTGATATCGAGTAGGTCCACTCATTACTTCGAGGTGTGGTCGGTTTACCACAGTTGTACTCGTATTGAAAAGCGGAGTGGGTGGGGTTTGGTCACTGTTTGTTTTGTAAGTGTTTATAACTGCTGTGCCCAATCTGATGAACACATGCTGCGTCTTTACTCATGTACTGCAAGCTGCATTCAGATGTATGCTTGCTGTCTCAAGCAACATATTTTTTTAGTACGAAACAGCGGCTAGCGTTTTACTAAGGGCCGTAACACTCAATCATCTGTCTAAATATACGAACAGGAAATAAAATACACGTCTCTTAATGCTTATCTGTGTGTAGAAACTATCCAGGTTTTTGTTTCTTACTAAACGAGCATGGATGCTCATTACGTTATTATGAATAGGGAGAGAGAGAGAGAGAGAGAGAGAGAGAGAGAGAGAGAGAGAGGGAGCAAGAAAAAGAGAAATAGAGAAAGAGAGGGAGAGAGAGAGAGAGAGAGAGAGAGAGAGAGAGAGAGAGAGAGAGAGAGAGAGAGAGAGAGAGAGAGAGAGAGAGAGAGAGAGAGAGAGAGAAGAGCACCTTCACAGGTATGTTAGAGTTCAGCTATGCAGCGCAATGGACGATGTCTGTCGAATTGATAAGAGGAACCGAAGGTCCCAATAAAATAGGGATGCTATGATGCAATTAGGCAAGCTTGTCCGATTCGAGTCATGAAGCCGAAACAGCTTTCCGTCTCTAGCTCTAAGGGGTGTGTTTGCTTGAGCCAGTTTTGAACTCAACTCTGAAGCATGATTAAAAAACACATTGTGAAAAATGTAAAAAATGAAATTTACAGAAATTCATAATCAAGCTATGCAGTATTCTCATTTTTTTTTTCAAAATTAGTAATTGTTTAACATTTCGATAACATTGCACACCAAAAAGTGATAGGCAATGAAAATGGTTTAAGATTTCTTATCATAAGTTATCATTTAATTTATTAAAGTCATGCTGAGGGTGCAGTACCTGTGTTCTTCCACGTTCAGTGACGTCTGCAGACTCGCACCGCTATTCGCAAACCGGTTTCTTTGGAAGCGGATGAAAGATACGATCAAATTAGATTCATCCAACTCGTTGGTTAAAAGTGACAGCTCCTTGGTTGCTCGCCGCGCTATACCATCTACAAAAGTGACGATACAAGGAGCGTTCGACACGGTACCATTCCTGACGATAATTCAATTACAAACTTGATGTGCGTTGCGTGCGTGTTCGTGTGTGTGCGTGTGGTGTTCAGGAGCTGCGTGTGCGATGGTTTATAGCTAACCAACGTGGTATACGTGGGAATCTTATGCCGCTGATGTTCACTTGATTGATGTTCCTATATATTGAAGATTTGTCGGCGAAGAAATGGATAAAAAGGGTTCGACACGCATGCATAGTGCGTGGTGTCCATACGCGTACGTGTGACCTGTGAGAGCCTTCGTTAAAACAAAGACGCAGTCCTTTCCCACCAAAAACCTCCAAGCCGTGTTTGCTTTCTTTTACAGCTTGCCTTTGGGTGATGAAAATTGAATAACATGAATCAATAAAAAATCTTCTAAAGTTAGATAAAATTGTTACAGAAATGTCAGCCATTACTTCATACATAGCTCAGCAAATCTAACTTAGTACAGAAATAAGCGCTGGGTCTAATTCCTGCGACATATGCTCATTTCAAAACCTGGGAAGTCATGTTTGCGCACAAACCACCTGAATGTAATAACATCATCATTTCTCTGTAACATGCTACTAATCCCTGTGTAAAATCGGATTCAACGTCACAGAATAACACGCATATCTTACGGATAGCTTTACTGACTATGCAGCTCGCCAGCTCGCGCGATAGAAAGCTCGTCGCATAGGACCTCAGGGCGCTTTTGGATTTTCCCCTGTAACATCTTCCGTTTTCCGGCTATTCCACTTATTCTATCACTGAACTCTCCCTGAAAGCTCAACAACCTCTCTCTCTCTCTTTCTCTTTCTCTCTCTCTCTCTCTCTCTCTCTCTCTCTCTCTCTCTCTCTCTCTCTCTCTCTCTCTCTCTCTCTCTCTCTCTCTCTCTCTCCCCATCTCTCTTTATTCTAACAGCTACCACGGTCACTAAATCTCCCGACTCAACGGCTACATCAGTGAAGCACTCCTTCCGTAGACGGCCGTATACTCGTGACCCAAAGACCGACAAAACTCGTACTTTCGGAGCTGCTCGTGACGGTCGGCTTGGGCTTAGCGCTGGAAGAATGCGCGACTTGATGACCGACAGCGTAACGGTTGTCTCTGCAGATAATGTTCTGGCACGACATTTAGGCCTTTTCTGCTAAGAAGGATCGATAAGGTAGTACCTAATATATTGAATGCACCATTTCAACAACACTGAACAGAAAACTGCAAACTTTACGCTGAGCAGTAAGAGCTACATTACCTGTTTTAGCATCAGTCAACTCACAGCACAATTGTGAGGTAACCCTTTATCTTGGTCTAGCGCTGACTGCATTCTTTTCGCAGTTTATCTGAAGTTGGTGACGATTCTCGGTTACCAAGGGAGAAAGCATATTCGTCTTAGTGACACCTAATGACATCAGTTTTTATTCGGTTTATAAAAATCCGCATCGTACTTTAGCAATAGCTTCTGTGGGCAATTACGTCATGCGAACTATTCATGGATTGTGAAATTTGCTGATTTAAGGATAGGCATGCACTATGCAACTGCATACCGCTCAGGTCCTTCTAGTATAGCTGATCAGTGATCACTTTCGGCTCGGTGATTAAAACTTTGGTTATCGAAACTGGTTTACTTCCTAGTGGTAAAGGAAAATGTTGGAGCAGCATGAGCAGAATACTGTGATGCTTTGCACACCTTGCTAGATGTTGTCGACCTTACATTGCACGAATACAATCTCAATTCAATCAACTTTTATCAATTATCGCTCCCAATCACCCATTTATCTAATCCGGAATGAGTTCGATGCCCTCCAGCGTCAAGCAATCGGCATTCTGAGGCTTCCCTAGCCCATTCACAACCCACGTGAATGTGAATGTCACAACCCACGTAAGGCATTTGCAATAAAACTGGTAAAACCGATTTTTACTGCAAGCTCGTCTGTTCCGTACCTCAGTGTATCGCTTTTCCCACAATCTGACCCTCAAACGGTGCGTAGCGGGACATCATGCGACGCAGTGTGACGTCACGTCTCTCCCATTGACGACTCTCGCCGCTCGCTCAGCGGCTGCACACGATTCTGGATAGGAACGGACGATAATCTGCTCAGCATCAGCGCGAGCGGTTATAAGCACCTGGCAACGTGTGACACTCGTGACTGAGAAGGGAAGAGATAGCGAACCCAGATGAGCCGAAGACCGAAAGAAATGCTGAATGTGAATTTCCGGCTAGTTCACATACAAAACATTTCTTGTTTGCCCTTGAAGCTGCATTAACATTGAAAAGTGAAATCACAAGGCTATCAAACGTAAGTTCAAGGGAACGAAATAACATTGAATTTTACCATGACATTTTACTAGTGAAAATAAATCATATAATGAAAACTAAAGCTTTATCTTGACTTATCGTTCCTGAAATAACCCCAAAATAAAGTGTTTCAATAGACAATTGCTTAACAAGCCTAGTTATTGTTTAATTCTGGTCATGGAATCATACCCCGCGCTCGCAGTCTCCCGGACGACAAAAATTCTACGCCGTCCGGCCAATCCCGTTCGAGGTCGGCGGGGGCTGGGCCGCGGTTATCGAACGCTATTGGCCGGACGACGTAGAATCTTCGTCGTCCGAGAGACTGCGAACGCGGAGATAGACTTTAGGCAATTTCGAAAAGCAGCTCTCTTCCAGTGATGCATGCGTATATCAAATCAAATATTCGGACGAATTCCGTTCGGCTACAAAGCTCCCTTATGTCAACAGTCAGCAGACATGTCACGCACAGGGCGGCATTGGGATGGGATATTGGACGGGGTGAGGGGAGGGGCGCCGGGTCGGGTCAGTCAGCTGACTGGCCAAGGTCAGGGCCGGGTGGGCGGGCAGACACCGCCCGTTTAGTGACCGGGCAGTGACGAGCGCCGGTGGGGCGAGGGGTGTCTGTGTGCTCTGCTGTTCGGGTGCCATGGCGGACCCGGCGGCATGATCTTCATACCCGAGACGAGCTCGATGGCCAGTGCAGCGGCGCCTGAGCCAGCGGTCAACTGCTCCAGTCATGGTCAGTGCCGTGGGTGTTCGTGGGTGATTCTTTTGCAGGACGTTATTGCTGTGCAGATTGGGCTGCTGGCTTAGATATTCATCCCACAGTAACCATAAGCATAGAACTTTGTATTCATAACAAGTTCTACAAGCATAGATAATGTTTCGGCCTTCATTTTGTTGATGAGCTTGGACATTTATTTTGTTCTAGGTATACCTATTTATCTTCCTTCTTTATTCACTATAAACTTGAACTAAGCTCTTACCGCTTTTGTTGAATCTTTGCATCACCGACAATACGCGAGCATACGTTTTCCAGAAATACACTTGACGTCCATTTCCTCATTCCAAGCACTCCTTTGTGTCACTTGTGAAGGCCCTCCATTCGTGACTCTCATTGCAACCCCGAGTCCTCCATTGCTGAGTTGCGTGTCTCGCAAAATATGACAGTATGTACAGGGTGATTTTTTTTTTTATACAGGGCAAAAAGTAAAGAGCAATGGCGGTTTCAGAAAACAGATCAACTGACAGCAAATGTATATCTTTGTAAAAAGCACATTCTGACATTTCATTTGCACACACAAACTTTGAGTTTGAGCTCCGTTTAGGCTTACAGAACGTGCTAGAAGTGAGCACAGTTTTAGGTAAATATTTACATAAAGTCCGATCTATATTTCAAGCATAAATTTTGCATATTCTTACGTTATTTGACATCCTGAATGTAGATATGATGCTTACATTCGGCGGAAAACAGTGCTACCATATTAAAAATATTTGCTACCATATTTGGGGAAATGTTGGGAACCGGGGTTTTTGGGTGGGGGAGGAAATACAATGCCGTAAGAATGGTTATGAAAGTTGGGGGAAACTGTTGGGAACCGGGGTTTTTGGGTGGGGGAGGGGGAATCGGGGTTTATGGGTGGGGAGAGAAACCCCGGTTCCCAACAGTTTTCCCCAACTTTCATGACCATTCTTACGGCATTGTATTCCCTCCCCGACCCAAAAACCCCGGTTCCCAACATTTCCCCAAATACGGTAGCAAATATTTTTAATATGGTAGAACTGTTTTACGTCGCATGTAAGCATCTTATCTACATTCAGGATGTCAAATAACGTAAGAATATGCAAAATTTATGCTAGAAAAGTGGATCGGACAGATAAAATTTACTTACCTCTAATCTAGTTCACCGTGGTTTCGAAAAATACGCTGGACGCGTTCCTCGTTGCGGTACGCAACTGAAACTAGTTCGTATTCCTCCCACTTGCACCCGGAGCACAACGAACCACCCGGCACGGAAGCCATGATCCAACTAACAGACTGGCGGGAAAGTGGAAAGCACTGGAAAGCACCTGCTAAAACTGGTTCAAACCAGTTTGCTCAAACGGAAACGGAAGTTTCTGCTCTAGATTACAGGTACGAATGGAAAGAAGTTTACGTAAGTCATAGCTATTAGGCATATTTGATAGAAAAGATATCATAATTATATTATTTGAACATAAAAAATGAAAAAGAAATTATCAAAAAGCAATTTAAATGTAAAAAGCATTACTTCTTCTCTATTCAAATTGTTTGATGAAAGTGACGTCAAAATAACAAAACACGAAAAAAATGTTTAAAAAATTGGAGTTTTGTTGGGAAGGATAGGAAAAACACGACAAAAATTGTCAGAACCTAATCTAACCTGACCTAACCTGACCTACTGATTTTTGCCTACCCGGGGATAAGGAAACAGTTGCTCGCATGAATAGATTGCAAGCAATGGTAAGTCAAATATTTTTAGGTTAAGTGGTTGTGCATCAGGCCTCAGGCCTTCGGCCTGAGGCCAGATACACAACCACTTAACCTAAAAATATTTGACTTACCATTGCCTGTAATCTCTCCTAAGGCATTGCCTTCGGCACTGCACTGCTTCGCCACGATCATTTTCATGACGTCACTTCCATAATGAGATTGAATAGCGTAATGTTTTCACTCAACCTTGGAGTTTATTCATTCGATCCATCTCACGTGGCGCAAACGGATGGTGGAGTGCGTTGACGGCGGGTGTCGTGGGATGGTGGCCGGCAGCGACGGTAAATATTGCGCAGTTGCTTTAAAACTTGGTTGCGCCATGAATAACTATCAGATATGGAATCAGGAGCTCAAAATACATCGAGTGGTGTGGTTTTTATAATCACCTTGTTGATCGGACCTTATGTATATAAATACCCAGTTTTAATGCACGCAAGCCTGGAGTAATTGGCGATTTTGGGGAAAACATTTTGTTGTGCGCCATTTTCACGGAACTTCACAACATAATGAGTCCCAAGAAGTCTTTAAAAGGTCCTGAAAACAAAATGACAAACAATTTCCTTTCACATGGATATACTTTTTTGGCGTTTGTTATATGTTTTGGTATCTCTAGGCCTATAAACTTTTTGCCCTGTAAAAAAAAAATCACCCTGTATATCTAAGCGCTTCAGTTTATCGGCCAATTACGTAATAGCGTTGAAACACTTCGGCATGCCAAAACAGTTCGGCGATGGGGACTGCAAAGTAGCCTGGCTACTAAGATTACGCTTTCCTCTGTTACCTACCTTATTTGAAGTGAAAGGAATCGTGCAATTTTCCGACCAAAACTGTTCTTTATGCCTATAATCAGATGTTCTTTAAGACAGCCCTTATAATCAGTCCCTTCTCGGAGATAAGAGCACTCCCCCTCCCCCAGCATCCGATGGCGGCCCGGCTGACGTCGCCTTCACGGTCGGCGTCATCACAGTGGCGGCGGCTTTCTGCGTCATCAGCGTGGTGTCGCTCTGTCACTGTGTGCGGCACGTGCTGGCCGGCAGCGCGACCAAGGACGCTCCGGAGACCCTGTTCTACACAGAGGATGAGGTGGAGATGGCGGAACTGAGGCACTTTCCGCTGCCGCATGCGGGCCAGGTGAGACGAGAGACTGGGGAAGGTGATGGTAGGTTATGGGAATCATTGTGGTTGGATCAACTGAGAGAGGTTGGCGTTGTAATCTAATTTCAATCACTCAAGTAGGCGATGGTGGTATGATGTTTTGTGTGATTTTGTGTGCATTAGGCACCTCACTTTGTCAAACGCCATTGCTTTAAATAATGTGTCATTCCGTCTACTCCTACACAGCACAGCCTGCTGCTGTCTACTGCTTTCAGGCTTCAGTTCAATTTATAAAAGCGTTTCGTCGGCATAGTTTATTTTACAAGCAACATGATGATACACGATTATTACCCGTCCATTTACGTGCAATTCTATATTCAAGTTACAGTGAACATAAACACCTCACGGTATCATGAATTTCAACTAGTGAAACCATAATAAACAGCAGCTCGCACTGACCTCGCACACTGATCATGACTTCACCACAACAACGGTAAGTCTATATGCAGAGCCGACAAGTCATCGTTCAGACCCGAGAAGGGATCAAAACTGGCTAGCGGCAGTGAGTGAAGGTCTGAGTATCGGAGGTTAGGGCCACTAAATCGGCGGTGACCGACCAATGGTGACTGGTAGAGGCCACCGGAGAGGTAGGAATCATCAGAGTGGTAATAGAACGCCTTCGGGGCGTATCTTGCCGGTTTGTTGTACCGCGGTCTGAAGGCAGGTCTCACCCTCTGTCGGCGACCAATGACCGGTGCCGAATTCACCAGCGGACCCCTAGGACTCAGGGGACCCACGGGGCGCAGGTGACCCACGGGGCCTGCTGGGAAATAACGAGTCGGACGATTGGGGATTTGATTTGGGAGCTGATGTGATTTCACATCGACATTACCATCATCGTTTGAGCGGACGACATTGAAGCTGCTTTGCGAATTTATAACGTTTTGTCCAGGGTTCGTATAAATCACCTGATTTCCTTGGTTCGGGAAGGGAGCTCTAACGTTGCCTCCCCTACCAGAGATGATCGCCTGTCCCACTTCCTCCAGGGAAAGACCATCGTCTTGAGATGTGCTGAAACTTTTGCTATCTCGAGAAAAATCACCGGGAGTTACGGAGGGGATCTGAGGGACCCTGTTGCTGAAGTCGGGACGGAGAATGCCGTTTAGGTGACCGACTGCAGGAGGTAGTCTGTTGATCCTGTTGTCTGTGGCGGGACTGGAAGTGCCTCCATCGTCTCCCGGTCCAGAGCTGACACCCTGCTGGGGCCCCGGTAGCGGCACAGGTCCCGGCAGATGGACAGCTCCTTGAGTCACCGGTCCAGGTGCAAAGATGATCTGCTTCTGGTCGTTTAGCTGTCGAGACAGAATATCACTGCCGTGAAGTCTGTGAGCGAGAAAATCCAGCGAAGGACGAGCTCCTCTCAGCACGTTATTGGTCGAGCCATCGTCTTGAAACGCACTATTTGTTAGCTGGATTCCGGCTTGGAGGCTGTTTGGTTTTCGCAGTAGATTGTGCTGACCGACGAAGGGAGCGCCCAGAAAGTTCGGGACACCGTTCACGGATGATGGCCCGGTTTGCGCTGCAGCTCCGACATTCGTCTGGTTCTTTTTGGAAAAACTGTCGGCTCGGACCAGCGAGAGAAAAGCCAGAACGATATAAACCTGAAATGGAGAAAGGAAAATATTTATGACTGTTTCTGTAGGCATTTAAGCCAAACATAATCGATGAGAAACACATTTACATTCCATGCTTATGGTAATTAGGTGAAGGCATTTGCACAATAATTTCGATTGCTCTTAACAAATTAGGTAATTATTGGAATATAATGATTGTTAAATCTTTTTATGCTCGTCAAATATGCATACGTTTGGCGATGGCACATAACATGGCACACATGAGCAGCTAAAATTTCCTCCAGGCGAGTGAAGTGGCAGTAAGAAAGCACGGTACTCTATCTTTAGGTCTCGCGGAAGCTGAATTACCTTCATGGTGGTGCCGGTACTGCCGAGGACGATGAACAGTGACAACTGATAGCAGTATCGAACGACCCTTAAATATAAATCCTCGAAGAAAGACCGTCTTCCACTGGGCAGGAAAACCGATCAGAGTCGCCCAGCAACGCTGGTATGCGATCGGAATAGATCGCCAACGCATTTTATCAGTGTTGGAGCTGCGGCGGCACGCAATCACCTGCGGGATCTGTCTTGGGTCTGCACGTGCGGTGTTTTCCCTCGACCAGAAGCTGTAACTTCATTATCTGACGTATTGCAATGCACACCTTTGGCGAACAATACGTAGAATTGTAGCAGGTGGAATATATCAATATATAAATTATATCATATGTTAAACTCCAGAACATTTTGAAAATATGCATTAGAATTAAAAAGTTGAAAGGTAAATAAGCTTTAAATGATAATTTGAAAACGAATTAGTGAAGGCCTATGACTGAGCTTTCATGGCTCTTGATTTGATTTGGTGGGCGGGCAATGGGCATCCGATTGAACATTTTTCGTGTCTTAAACTCTTGCCGGACCTATTGATTTTCTACATGCGCCCCGGCCGAGGGGATGACCCTACCCACCGTTTCGCCACTAATTTGAAAGTTTCGCCCCGTTTCGCCCTATGTTAGAGCCTCGCAGAAAAAAATGAGCGTATGTGCCTTTACGAGATGCAGCGATTGGTACTCGATTTTAAGATCTCAGGTCAACCGCTGACATCTGAGGTCAGGTCAAGTGCCCCAAAGCAAGACACGGCTTGAATCAAAGTTCAGGCATGCCAGGCTTCAGCTCTCTATCCCTGCTCTTTCTGAGCTTTCGCGAAGAAACTTCGGGGGGGGGGCATTCGCCCCCTTCGGCCGGCGAGGGTTAGGAATTATTCTGCTTTATTAACTGTGTCACACAAATCTGTGTGCATTGTGCTACAGCAATTATATGTAACTGATAATAATTGAATAAAAATGCATTTCTTCAAGAAATTTGTGAAGAATATAAATGATATTGAATGAATTGTTTGCTTAGTATTGGCAGTCCAGTCGAACTGAACACATCTCTCTCGCTAGCACCTGAAGTGAATGCGTAGGTAAGCTTGCGGACACCAGTATTACATTTTTTCTTTTTCAGGGCGATCCGGGGGTTTTGCGCGTCTGTGATAACATCTGAGTTCTGACCGTTATTGATCGCTATGGAATCAAAGGTGTTCAACGAAAAAATCACCCCAAAGCGAGTGGGCTAATTCCTCGGCGAGACAGTATACACCCACATTACATGTGTCAGTTTGGAACAGTTCAAAGCCAAGTTCAACGGGTGCAAGTCATAAAACAGACACTTTTACCTAAAATCTGCCACTGTAAGTGCCACCACTACGTCATCGATGACGCTGCAATTGATTGAGGAAAGGAAATGCGCCCACATAATACGACTGAGAAACTTCCCCTGTTCCTAAAAAGGTCAGGAGACATACGGATGTAGCTGGTTTTAGAGGTCAGCTACCGTTACGCTAAATGCCGTCTGGGGAAAATCG